AGGCGTAGGCATAGGAGTTAGGGAGAGGCATAGGCATAGGCATAGGCATAGGCATATGCATAGGCATAGCCATAGAAATTGGGGGGGGCAACGGACAAATCAGTAGGGCTTGAGCTATGAATCATATAGGGCAAGCCTATTTGGAGAATAATCATCATCAACATCAGCGTCAGCAGCAGCATCAACATCATCGCCATCAGCACCGTCATCATCATCAGCAGCATCATCATCACCTTCATCAGCATCAGCATCAGCATGAGAATCATCATCAGCAGCAGCATCATCATCAGCATCAGCAGCAGCAGCATCGACATCAGCATCAGCATCAGCAGCATCAGCATCAGAATCATCATTATCATCAGCAGCAGCATCATCACCACCACCACCACAATCATCATTATCACCACCACCACCACCATCACCACCATCACCACCACCACCACCACCATCACAATAATCATCATCGCCATATTATTACTATTACTAATAATATTATTATTCTTCTTCATCATCATCACCATCATAATCATCCCCCTCCTTGGCCTCATCCTTCTCGTCCTCTTCATCCTCCTGATCCTCCTCCTCCTCCTCCTCCTCCTCCTCCTCCTCCTCCTCCTCCTCCTCCTCCTCCTCCTCCTCCTCTTCGCCTCCCGTCACCTCTCCAGGGAACCGAGGGGGGAGGCAGTGTGGAAGGTTACCGGCGGTGTCGAAACGGGGCTTCCCCGCGCACCGGCACGGCGAGACCAGCTCGCCCGCGTCCTCCCCCTCGAAGCAATACCGGCACAGGCGTTCCTCCTCCCCGAGGGGGAGCGCAAACCAAGGAAACAAAAGGCACGGGGGTCGGTCTGCCCGTCCCCCGTGCCTGTCATCTCCCTCCCCCTCCGCCCTCTGGTCCTGGCTGTCGCTCCTGGCTCCCTGGTTCTCTTCTGCTTGCCCTTGGCCGCCTTGTCTGGCGCCGGCTGTTGTCGTCCGAATGTGTACAGGAGGGCTTGTCGCCTTTGTCTTCCCCGGCTTGGGTGGGGAAACAAAAGGGGGCTCGAGATTTGAGGTTTCACGTTCGGAGGTTTTTGTCACTTCTCCCTGGTTGTCCAACCTCGGCGCGCCTTCCAGCAGAGGCGCCTCGCCGAGAGTGTTCTGGGGTGTCCGGATCGTCCCGAACGGCCGCCAAAGGCCACAGATCTGGTTGGAAAACCACCTGGGGACTGGCTCCGAAGGGGGAACATCGACCTGGAGTCGGCGATGCATCGCCGATGGATCGGCGCTCGGCGAATGCGCGCGTTCCTGGGCGGGGGCGGGATCTGTTATCGAGCCCCTATAGGCGATGAATGGGCGGCGACTGAGGGTCGATGCATCCACCCTGAACCCACCCACCCTTCACGCTGCCAATGATCCTCATCCTCCTCCGCCGCGACGCCCGCCGCGGCGCCGCCCGACGGCTGCGCCAGGCCGCCGCTCAGCGCCGCGCCGGGTGCACCGTGCTTGCGGCGGCGGGCGGGGCAACGCAGCGGCAGCCACGCGGCCGCGAGGCACGGCGGCGCGGCACAGACCGTGGACATCGGCGGGAGGTTCCAGTTGCGGGCGAGGCCCTGCGGATCGGGCCTGGCGAGACTAGGAGGGCGGCTGGCGCCCTGGGGAAAGAGCCCTGGGCCCGAGCGGACAGGGCGCGGGCGCAGCCCACGCCGCGGTGCCAACCAGGAGAGGCGGCTGCAAGAGCAGCGGCAACGGCAGCGCTATCACCACCACCACCACCACCACCACCACCACCACCACCTGCACCAGCACCAGCAGGTGCAGGAGCATCAGCAGCAGCAGGAGGGAGGAGGTGGAAGGAGGGAGAAGGACGAGGAGAACAGGGAGGACCAAAAGCACGAGAAGGGACAGGGACGCGGGGGCAAGGACGACAGAGAAGACGACGACCCAAAACAAAGCAGGAGCACGGAGCAATGGGGAGAGGGCAACCAGCAGCGAGGAGAACGGGGGGTACAGAACCCCCGGAACGGGAGCGGGAGCAGGAAGGACGAGGAGCAGGCGGGCTCGACGACGAGAAGAGCAGAGCAGAGAGGGACGGCGGGAGAGCAGAGAAAGAGGATGAGACAGAAAGAGAGACAGAGAGAGAGAAAGGGAGAGAAAAAGCAAGCAAGCAAGCAAGGAAGCAAGCAAGGAAGCAAGCAAGCAAGGAAGCAAGCAGGAAAAAAACAAGCAAGCAAGCAAACAAGCAAGCGAAATGTGATCGCGCCACATATGGCGTCCTGCCCCTCCCCCTATCCCACTGCACTGCGCTGAGGTGTTTCTCTCTCCGCGGACGCGCGGCATCGCCGACCTGGACCTCCCACAAAAGACCCCATCGTGCTATGAGCAAACAGAAAAAAAGGGAAGCTGCGCACAGAGGAAGAGGAGGCGACGGGCGAACTGGAGGACGAGCAGGAGGAAAAGGAGAAGGATGGACGGACGAAGACGAGACGAACAGCAGCAGCAGGAGCTGCAGTTGCAGGCGCGGGAGGGGGAGGGAGGCCAGAAAAAGTGGGCTGAGATGGCGACGTTAACGCATCGGTCTCATCGCCCATGATGGGAATATCGGACATGCTTCCCGTGACTCAATAATCCGTTAAGCTGTGGACCAGTGGGAGCAGTATAACAGGATAGGGAGGAGGGACGACGATGACGACCCTCACTCCATTCACGCGCGCGGAGGCGGGCCCGCGGTGCCCGCCTCAGAACGTCTTGTCCTGCAAGCACGACACAGCTGCGGCAGGCGGCCGCGGGGCGGCTGGCGGCGGCAGGGAGCAGGCAGGGAGAGAAGAGTCACAATTCCCCCCGCGGCGGGACACGCAGGCCGCACGCTTCGAACCCATCCCAGGGACGCCACGGTTTCCCGGCACTCCCCGCGGCATATTGGCCCCCCCCGGCGCCTGCTTTTACAGCGCCAGGGGGGGTGGGCAACAAACCAACCTGATCTCCCCCGGGGAAAGCCGAAACGGACCGACGAACCCCCGGAAATACTTCCCCGGGCGTCAAATGTGGACGCAGAAATCCACGCAGCCACAGAGGACTCAGCTTGTTTTTGAATTCGCCCGCACAGCTGTTTCCCTGCGTTCTTTGCAGCTTCATCCAATGTGCCACGTCGCATAACCTCATCAGGAGTCAATTTCGACGCCGCCAGCAACAGGACGGGCCATTCTGATGACCTCGGCATTGGCCTGTCGAGAAAGCATAGCGAATCATATGTTCAGGCAGTAATTCTGGCAGACCCTTGGACGAACCCCGCGCGCCCTTGGGCCCCGGGCTAGTAGACCTACTCCGAGGCCTGTCCCTTTTCGGGCTTGCCCCATTCCCCCATTTAACCCGCCACGCATCCTCGCCCACGTTCGGCGGCGCACTCGGCTGAGCCGGTTGTGGAGCGGGGGCTGCCTTAGGCCCCCCGTGACTGCGAGGGCACTCCTGCCCCTTATATGGGCACCGGCCACCTTGCAGAACACACTTGCACGCGACTCTTCCCTCCTTCCGTCCGTCACGGACCTCGTCTGTAAGCTTGCCCAACGGCCTCGTTGGGTCTGAATAACATGGAACAGCAATCTTGCCAGGCCGTCCTCTTTGGTCGAGGGTCTTCTTCCGACCACCCACATGAAAACCACTTCGTTCCTTCTCCGTGGACTCGTGCAGCTGACGCAACAACCACTTCTACGTCTGTTCCAACCTTGCAGCTGCTCTATCCATAGAAGGCGACTGCCCATTGCATCTTTTGAACGTTCTTCACGTGTTCGTAGAAATGATCATGGGTCGCTGCGGCCACCTCAAGGGATGACTTGGACACTCCGTAGAGGACGCGACAAGGAAACTTCCACCCGTTGTAAAAAATGATATAAGTCCACGTACGGTCTGCCTTGACCGATGAAGATGTCAATCAAATCCCCCACCCCATATGTTCCTGCCATGCTCTGTATGAACGGAAAGCCAGTGACAAATCAAACGCGCCATCATTCGCCCAGCAAGCCAAAGGGACTCGCTGTGCGCACCATACCCCGCGCGCGAGATTTGCGCAATGAGATGCGCCCGCTGCGGCGGGGAATCCTTGTTCGGCTTCATATCGGAAAACGCCTCTGTCGAGTCCGACGCAATCAGCATATAATTCCGTTCGCACTCCTCTGAGCGCCTCAGAACACTAAGGTCTACATCGGGTCCCATCGCTTGAGCAATCCAAGGTAATGACCCTCTTCACTCTGGGGATGCCGATGACATTACCCTCGTCGCACGAAGCCTCTATTCCCGAAGCCACGTAGCATCCAGGATGGGCATCGGCTTGATGCCCGCTGTCTTTCGAATCTGTTCTCCAGAATTCTAGAAGATATGCGATGGGCCCCGCATCGCCTTGACCATCGCCTCCTCCATCTCCATCGCCGCCAGGCGGGCTGCCTCCCCCGTCACCTCCACCCCCGACTGAGTCATAAACATTCGAACTGGATCAGGTGGCCCATCTGGCACGCCTGGCATCTCAGACGACGAATCCCCCGACGGTTCGACAATTAGAGAACGGAGGCGCGCCGCGGAAGCGCCCCCCCCCCCCCCCCAGTGCCCCATTCGTTCAGAAGAGCACCAATAACCGCCATGCAAGTCTGAAGTCTTCTCTGATCCAGTTCTCCTTTCGGCCCGTTTTACTTTTCAAATTCATTGCGCTCTTACCTAATATAATCATGGAGGTCCTTCTGCCGTTGCATGAGACTAGCCACGCGTGCCAGTTCTTCACACCGTCAGGAACGCCAAGGCCACCCCCCCCTGGCGCTCCCGGGCAGCTCCCGCCCCCGCCCCCGCCTGGTCACGAACGCATTGCCCGCGTCGCCCGGTCATGGGTCATGGAGCACATGCGATTGCCACTACGCGGCGGGGAACATTGAACGCACTTGATCGTCTTCACGCATCGGCGAACATGGCACATTTACAAGTCCCCCGAAGCTGCAGCGACGCGCGGCCGCGGCCCCCTCCCCCGAGGCCCGATACGTCGAGCTCCCCGGCGCCGAAAGCTGCGCCACGGGCGCCAATTCACTCGACCTACCACCCTATGGAAGATGAGTACTGGTCCGAGCCCCCAACGCAGATGCGATCGCAGCGATGCCACTCTGCACCGCGGGAATCTGCAGCGCAAATGGCATCGCCCCACCACTTCGCCCTGTTGCGCGCTGAACTTCCGGGAGAGGAATCAGATTGTTATACGCCTCTCTGCTCGACAAGGCCCTCGGCGAGTGCATGCATGTCTGCTTTCATTTCCATTGCACAGTCCGCTGCGGCGCGCCCCCGAAGGCCCCCTCCTCGCAAAATTGGAACCGCCTCTTCATCTCGCATGGCGAACCGAAGCAGCCGCTTGCAACGCCTTCTCCTGCATCGCGTTTTCTGCAGATCGATGAGAACCCCTCGCCTCCATCTCCGCTTTTTCGCACGAGGCGCTGCATGTTTGACTCCTTAAATGCCGCGCGCCCCGCTATTATGCTTCCCGCTTCTATCGTCTTTTGCCCCGCGGACCCCTCCAACTCCTTCGTTCGCCTTTCGACCCCAATCAGAGACATCTGAGCTGCTTCCGACGCAGCCTCCTGGCCTAAACGGCGGCCCGCGCAAGTATCTCTTCCTCATTATTCACTTTCCAGAGTGGTTCATCCCTCTGCGTTTGGACCAGGCGAACTTGCGCGGCCAGCTCTTCGCGCAGTGTCGTTTCATAGGCAGGCCTTTGTCACTGCCTCTTTCTGTCATCATCCATGAAAAGAAAAACGACTGCACTCGCGCCCATGCATTTCGACGCATCCCGAGCAAGGCCAACTAGGATCGCAGCGCTGGTACGCGAAGGAACAACCGGCACACGCCGGTCGAAAACAAGGGCCCTGGGCGTCGCTCGCTTCCACGGACACCCATTTTCTGCCGACGGGCAACACCGCGGCCCTCGGGCCAAACAAATATCTTTCATCGGAAATCCCCCAGGGGATCATCCACGGGACCCTTAACTGCTGATTGACCTCGCACGCAATATGACTGATAATGGCGATCGACATGCAGACATTCTGATAGCACTACGTGGAGACACCTTTGAGATCGGGATCGATACTGGGATTCCTTGCACGGCTGGGCAGTGATGATCACGAAGCAAACTGTTCGCCATAGTGAGATCACGCAGCCCCACGACCACATCCCCAGGTCCTTCGGAAAGTTTGGCCTCGAGCTTTTCCTCTGTGTCTGGCGAGGTCCGCTCGAAGCACAATCAAGGTGTTCTGATCTCTGATAGACGGACGATCACACTTCAAGTCAATGACCGCTTCGCGTTAGTGATCCGACTTCATTTCCACTCCCATCACTTGGACCAGCGCCAAATCACTGTCTTCCATCGGCACAAAGGTGTCGCCAATTAACGACGCGACAAGAGCCGCTGGAAGAATTGAATTTAAAACATCACGTTGCGGGATGCTCGGCTGATATTGCGCGGCCCCCTATGGAACATGCGCAGAGAGATCACTCGCCGCTCGCATGTGCAATTTCTATACAGCATTGGAACGCTCGGTTGGTAACCAGTCATTCGCCAAGACGGCTTCCGGCACAAATGGGATACGATGGTGATGTTGACGTGCCGGTATCATCGCTCATGATGGGTATATCGGAAACGCTTCCTGTGACTCAATAACCGTTAAGCAACGGCTCACTGAGTCAACAAAAAAACAACATAGGGAGGGGGAGGATGGATGACGACGACGACCCTCATTCCTTTCACGCGCTCGGAAGCGGACCCGCGGTGCCCGCCTAAGTACGTTTTGTCCTGTAAGCACGATACAGCTGCGGCAAGCGGCTGCGGGGCGGCTGCCGGCGGCACGGAGCGAGCACGGAGCGAAAAGTAACAACTGACCAAGGTAAGGCGGAGGAGGGGAAACGAGGGGGCGACAACGATGCAAAAAAACTCGGACCCAGAAAATGGCCCCAGCTACGGCGAGAGCGCCAAACGACGAGAACAAGGCACCGATCCGAAAACGAGGCCCACGCTGCAGCGTACGCACCATTTTGGAACACCGAGAACGAACGTACAGTGAAAAACATGAGTTTGTTTGCCCATGTCTGTGAAAAAACAAAACGCGGAAAGAACCGATCATCTTCCGGACGGAGTCAGGGGAGATAGGACAGTAGCATTCACAATACGAATTTCGATATACCTAGGGACAGAGAGAGAGAGAGAAAACAAAAAAAAAAAAAAAAAAAAAAAAAGGAGAGAGAGACAGAGAGAGAGAGAGAGAAAAGCTCGCGCGGGCGCGAGGCGGCGCAGCGAAGGCGAGGGACAATGTAGGCCTCCCAGATGGGGTCCGAATAGATGGGGTCGGAGGATCGCGCCAAAGCATCGCCGATACATCGGCGATGCATCGGCGACGCCGGCGATGCCTCGGCGCCATCGGCATGGAGAAGATCGGGCCCCACATCGAGCCGCAGCGGCGACGCATCGGCGACGCGGCGAGATCCTCCGACCCCATCCGCTCGCGGACCTCATCTTCGGGAGCTGCCAAGAGGGGGGTGTCCAAGAGGGGTGTGTGCAAATCATGACCCGCGGCATGTGCGCGACCCAGCGGGGGGGCCAGGGACGTAATGAAATAAGAAGAGGCGCCATGAAATCTGGGGCGATATCATGGCCCCCACCATGATATCCACCCCCCCCCAGTCATCACCCCTCTCTTTTCCGCCCCCGACATCCGGGAGGGCCGGAGGCAGGCAGCGGGCGGGGCTCGCCGCGGCGGCTGGGCGGCCAAGCCGTGGACGGTGGACGGGCGGTCCCACAGCATCGGCCGGCCCTGCACGGGCGGGGCGCCGCGAGGGGAAGGGGCGGGCGGCAAGGGCGCCGCGGCAGCTTCGCTGCGCCCCGCCCCTGGACAATAAAGAAAGGAGAAGGAGGAGGAGGAGGAGGAGGAGGAGGAAGAGGAGGAGGAGGCGGCAGGGGAAGGCGAACAAGGAGAAAGAGGAGGAGTGGACGAGGAGGAGGGAGGAGAAGCAGAAGGAGGGGAGAAAAGGATGCCCAAGCGGTGAGCGATGGACTACGTGAGCTGGCTCATCCCGAGCTACGGCCCGGGCTAGACGCAGGCTTCTGTATCGGACCAAGAAGATGCTACAGAAGCTAAGCACACACACTTTCTCTCTCTCTCTCTCCCTCTCTTTCTCTCTCTCTCTCTCTCTCTCTCTCTCTCGGACCTATGCAGGACGTCTGCCAATACAAACACTGTCCATGACCACCTACATCGCTAGAAAAACCAATCATGTGTGTGGCAAACTGGAAACGACTGAATGTTTGGACCAGACATACGATATCGATAACTACACGCTGCGCCGGCAAGTACCCCCCTTCAGAGCCCGATTCACACAGCAACACCTCGAACCAAGAATCTGGTAGCGATAAAAAACTCCCTGGCGCTATCCAAACTCACCTTCAAAGCGGAGACATGGCCAACGCATACGCTCAAAGAGCAAGCATAAACCCACTCTACGTACATGCAGCTCTACCGATCGGCGTCGGGAATACATGATCACGAGCAACACACCAACAAATCGCCGATTAATTGTGTCAGTGTGTTTCTTTCCCTCCTGAATATTTGCTGTCCTATTACACACTGGCGGAAGCTGGACACAATAACTCAAGGTCGGCTCCAAATGGCTCGAAGGAGTCCACGACAGACAGACTCCACGCCAGCGTATAATGTGCTACGTTAGTGGACAGCCAAGGCAGAGGGACCTTACAGCAATCGGTCAACAGCAATCCTTACAGCCGCCCTTCGCGAGAAGCTCTGATTTCATGTTTGCTCTTGCCGACGATCGGGCTGCTCATGCTTGCCTTTGCCCTACAAAAGCATTGCCCTCTCCCCCGTCGCCCCAGAAACACAGATCGCGTTCGCTGCCCCTCAGCGAGCTTCAAGGCAGAGGGACCTGGCACCTTCTGTGCGGGAGGCCACGGTTTTGTAATTGGTCGAACCGCACACACGGATGGCAGGGGGCAGCGTCTGAGCCGCGAGAGGACCGCGCGGCTCACGCCAGCAATTCTGCCCCTGCCTCCCTACTCCCACAACCCAGGTCGTGAGGATGAGGAGAGGAAAGAGAGGGACGAAGATAGGGGGGGAACAAACCTACCTCGCTTTTGACCACCCTCGCTTCCAAGAGATACCACACGATGCCAAACTACGGCCTGTGCTGGTCAGGCCGCTTGACGAGGAGGCGCGTGGTATGACTTGGTTTTGCCTGGAAACGAAAGCGGGGGAGGTAATTCAAGCTCTGAGAAAGAGAGGAACGAAGAGGAGGGGGAGGGGGAGAGAACCGCGGGAGCACAAGGCGTGCCCGCCAAAATCCACCACGCGAAGCCACGCACCCGTGCGACGGCACGAAGAGGGCCTCGCCCTGGAAAGGCCTGGGGAGGGGAAAGCAACAGGTGCCCTAGCTATTACAAATCACAAGTCGCCCACGCGACGCGAAACTCTAGAAGGAGGAGGATGCACAGACGAAAAACCACGCGATAAAGACAGGAATGAAAGGCTACTCACGTCGCCGGCGCTTTGCACCGCAGACACCAATGCGGCCGCAGACCCATGGCCCTGTGCACCTTCACGCAGAAAACCGCGGAAGAGATCAGCAAGTCGTTCCCAATCGCTGCCGTGCCGCACCACGTTATGCGCGCTGTACAAAGCAAAAACTCCGAGGGCCCGCAGAAAAGCGGCAGCCCAACCGCCCTGCGGAGGTTCATCGGCGCGCAACTGCCTAGAGGAAGGGCTGATGTGGAGAAAATCGCTAAGAACCACTGCGGCCTCGGGACGTCAAAACGCAGATGCTGCCAACAGAGTCCACGGCACACAAGACCCTGGCAGTAGTGTTTCAGCGAGACGACGGCCCACCCGCAACACATAACGCACCACCCGGCGCGTTGGAACCCGCGGGCCGCCATCCACACGTTCGGGCTCGAACGCAGAGCCGCGGACAGCACCCGCGGAGGAACCAACGGCCCGACGCGCCGCATGTTGAACAGCATCCTGCGGCACTGGCGACCACAAGAGCATCGAGCTGCCAGCGGTCGAGGCGGCGCCGAAGCGCCCGCTCCATCGCCGCAGCACCGGGCACAGGCGTCGCCACGCGGGCGCGAGCCTGCCAGTCCTCCAGGAGCCCAGCTTGGGTCGACGCGTCGACGGGCGTCCGCGCAGCCGCCCCCGCGGCAGTGAACTCCAGCAGCGTGGACTCCAAGGAGAAGAGGACATCCGAGGAAGGGGAAATCCGAGGGGCTGCCCAGTCATATCTCGATCCCAGGCGGTCAGCGCTGCCGGCTTTCCGTTGCCCGCCGGGCCGCGGCGCGCGGCGAAACGCGTAGACCTCCTGAGCGACACGCCCCATGAACCGCAACCCGATCTTCGGCGAGACCGGCGACGCCGTTGACGTCTGCAAAAAAAAAGGAAAACCCAAGGAGCGCAACGACTTCAGGACGTCGGGCGCGAGCCAATTTATGGGCCCCGGGAAGAGCCCCTCACAACCATTCTCTCCACCTCAGCGAAAGCGCCTGGGATGGAGGTCCATCTGCGCCGCGAAGGCAGCCACAGAAGCAATGAAGACCTGGTACGCGGTGCGCCAGCACGGCGTGCATCACGCCGGCCCAGACGCTCCTCCAGACCGAAGCCCGCCCCTCCATTTCCTTCAAAGCGCCGCTCCATGAATTGGCGCCCCTCCCAGGCCCAACATTGAAAGCCAAGTATTTCGCCGAGCCAGTCATCCCCACGGCAACCCCAAGGGGAACGTCATCGCGAAGACTGGCGCGAATGGCCGAGCGGCTGAAAGCCTCGAGAGAAACTGGGACTACTTTGCCCACGTTGAGCTGCCGGAGGGAGACGCGGGCGCACTCCGAGAACGCGGGCTCGAGGGGGAGGGGGCGCCTCCGCGGCTGCGGGTCCATCAGGGCCGCGTCGTCGATGCAAGCCCGTAAAACGATGGACGGAAGGTCACGGCGCAGCCGCCCGGACAACACGTCGGCGGCGACCGCGAAGAGCAGGGGAGAGAGAGGGCGCCCGTGCCGGACGCCACGATGCACTCCGAGACCTCGGCAGTGGGCGCCACCCATGACAACGTCATCATCGTCGTCGTCAACATCGACACCATCGTCTCGATCATCATCACCACTGCTATCGTACTCATCGTCATCATCATCACCACCATCATCATCATCATCATCATCATCATCATCATCATCATCATCATCATCATCATCATCATCATCATCATCATCATCATCATCAGCATCATCATCATCAGCAGCATCATCATGATCGGCAGCGTTATCGTTATCGCCATCCTCATTGTCGGCATCGTCACAATCATCAGCATCGCCACCACCATCATCACATCATCAGCATCAGCATAATCATTAGCACCATCATCATCAGCATCATCATCGTCAGTATCATCATAATAATCATCACCATCACCAGCATCATCATCATCATCATCATCATCATCAGCATCATCATCATCATCATCATCATCATCATCATCATCATCATCATCATCATCATCATCATCGCCGTCAGCATCAGCATCACCATCAGCATCAGCATCATAACCATAAACATCGTCATCCACATCGTCATCATCATCATCATCAGCAGCATCATCAGCAGCAGCATTTGCTGACCCTCATCCTAACCCACATCCTCATCCTCATCCTCCTCCTCTTTCTCCTCCTCCTCTTCCACCTCCTCCTCCTCCTCGCACTCACCCTTCTCCTCCTCATCCTCATCCTCATCCTCTTACTTCACCTCCTCCCCCGTCCGCTTCCTTCTCCTCATCCTCATCATCCTCCCAACGATCCTTCTCATCCGTTTCTTCTTCCTCCCCCTCCTCCTCCCCCTCCTCCTCCTTCTCCTCCAACTCCTCCTCCTCCTCCTCCTCCTCCTCATCCTCCTCCTCCTCCTCCTCCTCCTCCTTGGCCAACGCGGGGGCTCGGGCCTGCCACCTGGGCGGAGGGTGGCGGAGCACCCTCAGGGCGCCTGGCGCCCATTCCCCCCGGGCGCCATATGAAGTTCGGAGGCTACGACTGGAGCCCAAACATCTACGCCAGCGCCGCGGCAAGAGAGCGACCTTCCATCCCATCCCCTCCACATAAGCCCCTCATCCCTCGTCATCCTCATCCCCCTCCGCGCCCTGATCCTCCCACCTCCACAGTTATCTTGCCCGCTCCTCCGCCTCACCCGCCCGCCTCCCCTCTCCGTCTCTGCGGCTGTTCCTCACGCTCCTCTGTTTTGCGCTGCCACCCTTCTCATCGACCCCTGCGGCACGGTGGGAGGTCGAGAGTGTTGCGCCGACGGCGAGAACTGGGTCGACATGCTGTCCAACGGGTACAAGTTCGTCTGCTCAACTGGGTAGTCCAGCTTGCTCGCCCCCTCGTGTCTGGGGGGGCCCTTGCCCCCCCCCTTCTGTAGCCCAAGCCCTCGCGAAGAAAGAGGAGGAGGAGGACGACGACGACACGGACCACAACGCTGGCCCCAGATTCAGACCTCACCTCATTGGACAATCACCTCACTGCACTCATTCCCCAGCCCCGCTGAGACCACCCTCGTCGACAAGCAGGCGGTAAATCATCACTCCAGGCACGGCCCGGGGGACGCCTCCTTCGCCCGCCCCCCCGACGGGGGCGTCGACGCCTGGGCTTGCGGCCTTCGGGCTACGTCTGTCGGCCCTTACCGACGCGACCGTTCGCCTGCTCCTGCGCGGAATCTACCGATCATGCTCACCCCGACTAACTTCGGGGGCCCCTCCGCATCTACGCATCAGTCGGGCCTGGCCACGACCTTCGCGCTGGTCATCGGCACGTCCGCCTTGCTGACGCTCATAACCCCGGTTTTCTTCGGGTCCGCCCATCCGCTCGTCCGGCCGCCCGCGATCTCGGGCTTTTCTCCACGCCCATCGTGCTGCTCACCATGTCCCGCACCAATGCCTCCACATGCGATTCGGTCTGTAAGGCACGGCCTACGAGGCTCTGCCGCCCGCAGGCGTGCCTCGTAGCCCAGCGGCACCGCCCAGCGGAACGGCAAGAGTACCGAATAAGCCTCTCTCCACCTAGCCTTAAGTCGGGCCTGTCCCCCTACAGGGGGATTTTCGACGAAAAATGAAAAAAATACCCCGAAAATAATCAAAAAATAATCCAAACATAGTGCGGGGACTATTTGTCGAGTATCTTTTGGCCTTGTTGGCATATTTCTGGGGTATCCTTAATTTTTCGTCGAACGCCCGACGAAAACCTGGCCGCATCGCGTTGGGACACGGCCCCTTCGCCCCCCGGGCGGTGGCCGGCTTCCTCCGGGCAGGCGCCCGGAAGAGCGTGCCAGGCCTCCCCTGCCCACCTCGGGCTCCGAGCGGCGCCCTGGCTCCCGCGCGCCGCGCGGGCCCCGCACCCTTGGAAGCCGGAACTCACTGCTCGGGAGCGGCCAAGAGGGGGGTGTCCAAGAGGGTAGGAAGGCACCAACTATACACCAACACCGATCCTGGCCCAGGATCACCCTGGGCCCAGGATCGGTGTATACGCCCTCCTGCCTTGGGCAAGAAGCCATATACACCGATCCTGGGCCCAGGGTGATCCTGGGCCAGGATCGGTGTTGGTGTATAGTTGGTGCCCTCCGAGAGGGGGGGGGGGGGCAAATCATGACCGGCGGCATGTGCGCGGCCCAGCGGGAGGGCCTGGGACGTAATGAAACAAGAGGAGGCGCATGAAATCTGCGGAGGTATCATGGCCGGCGCCATGATAGCCACACACACACACACACCCCTAGTCATCATCCCCCCCTCTTTTCCACCCCCGAACTACACAGGGGAAGAAGAAGAAGAATTCTTTAAGTGAGTTGTCAAATATCTCACAGTGGTCCAAGACTCGACCCCAAGTCATCGCAGTGCCTTGTCTGGCTGGGTCGACCAACTAGCTCCACCCTGCGCCCGAGCTCCGCCGAGCGCATCTTACCGACTAGTTATACGAAGCGAATAGCGAGGCGGCAGCAGCTTCCGGTAGGTCCTTCGAAAAGGCTGTGGAAGCTCTGGAAAGGAGCTTCTGGAAAGCTTGACGGCATACGAAGTGCCAAACGGTTGGAAAAGGCCTTCCGGAACACGCTGCCGCCTCCCAGGCGGCGCAGCGAGGTGTCCTACCAGAGGCTGGAACGAGCTCTCATTAGAAACCGTCACAGCTCTCAAAGAGCCATCCGGGAAGGAAACCTTGTGGCAGACGCTTGCAAGGACGTTTGAAAGGATGTCTGAGAAAAAGATCTTCGCAGGAGCCTGGAAAGAACTTCGAGGGAGCTGCGGAAGGCTTCCAAGAAACGCAACGGGAGTGAATAGGCAAACGCTCGCGGGACACGCTGCAAGCTCAAGCAACTCGCTGCGGGAATTCTGGAGCGGCGCCAGAACGAGCTCTGGGGCAACCCTGCGGTGCTGGCCTCTGATCTGAAACCCTCTTAGCTCTCACAGAACTGTCCGGGAAAAAGCCGGATAGCGAGGCGACAGAAATTCCTGAAAGGTCCTGCGAAGGAGCTATTGAAGCTCTGGAAAGGAGTTTCTGGAAAGCTTGACGGCACACGTATTAAACCACAGTAAAAGCCTGTGCGAACTCGCAGGAGCTTCTGCGAGGTGTCTTGCCGGGAACTGGAACAGGCTCCGGGGCCACCCTGCAGTGCCGGCGTCTGCACCGAAACTCTCTACGCCGTCTACGAACGATCCGGGAATGGTTCTACTTTCTATCCGGACGATTTGAGGAAAACTCTACGAGTCACTGTGGCGCCCACTTGTGGTGTCCAAACCTAAATGGCGAGGCCACAAAAGCCTCTGGCAGGGCAGTCGAAGGAGCTCCAAAAGCTCAGGACAGGAGTTTCCGGAAAGCGTGACGGCACGCGCACTGGGAGACCACTAGAAAAGGCCTGTGGGGTCACGCGGCGACCTCGCAGGAGGTTCTGCGAAGTATCTTGCCGGAAGCTAGAACAAGCTCTGGGGCGACCCCTCTGGCGCCAGGTTCTAAGCTGAGGCCCTCTTAGCTCTCAGGGAAGCGGGTAAAAACCGAATAGCAATGCGCCAGAAAACGCCTTCGAACACTCTGTCGACGGACCTCTGAGAGCTTTGGAAGGAGCTTCCCTGTGACGAAGAGCTCTGTGGCTGAAACCTCGAAATCTAATCAATTAACCGCACGGGCGCTAAACAAAAAGTTGTAGTGCACCAGTGGTTCTGCGGTCATAGCTCGAATAGCAAATCGATGTCAGGCTTCTCCGGAGTCCGAATCAATGCGTTCGGCGGCACAGCCGTTCGTAAATATGGGCGCTACGTAGCTCTTATGAATGGCAAGATCAACTCCATAAACCGAACGCGTACCCGAAATCATTGTACAGTGCGAATAGTTGTTCGGTCATAGCTCGAGTCGCAGACCTATCTTAGACTTCTCGAAACTTTACACTGATGCTGTCGATGCTGCTGAATCAACTGGTACGAGCAAAATACTCTATAGCTGCTCTAAATCTCGAGATCAAGACGACCGCGCCCAATGCGTATCCCGAAGCCACCTGATCCCCCGAGAAGGTTCAGAACAGAAGCAGATGCTTTACAGTGTGACATTGCATATTATGTTTTTCTCGGCTATCCTGTTGGGTGCTAACATGATACACCTCTGAACTTGCTGCCTTACTGTGCACGTTTTGGCCATCCTGTTAGCTCTAGTAGTTGTTTAGCAGTGTGACAGTTGTCTTGGATAAAGATGACAGTCGGCATGCCATGAGCATATGCCGCCTCAATGTGCCTACGGGATTTAAGATATTGCAGTTTATGCCTTACCCATCCTGACTCGACAGGTTCAAGGGAACAGGAGTTGATATTGATATTTAAACGGTGAAATCAGATGATGTGTTTTCGGCCTCGTTTGGAGAACCACATTGTTATTGAGGACGGCTTTGTGCAGTGACAATGAGTCAGAAGGAAAGCAGTCTGTCCCGGGGCCTCGTTTGGAGAGTCGCACTTGAGATCAAGAGTAGGAAAGTGGTGTTGTGATGCAGTTTGATGAATAACAGTGTTTTGCGAAGATTTCTTGTTTAGGCCCTCGTTTGGAGCGCCTGGATAGACCGAGGGCGGGTGTCTAGATACTTTCAAATAGCGCGCATGGTTATTCTCTTCCCACTGCAATGCCTCAGAGCTCTCAAGCGCATCTGCAAATCGAGTTCAGCCCAGGAAACGAGTTCCATCACAAGAAAAATAGCAGAGTATGACTAGTTGTTCGGCGTCGTCTGCGCCCATAACAGACCCAAACGAAGCGTCCAGATACTTCAAACTAGCGCGCCTCATGAATTGCTTCTGACTTCTGTCGGAAGAGCTCTCAATCCAATCTGCAGCTCGAGTTAAGTGAAGAAATTCACCATCATTTCGACAAAAAATCGGTCGATCGATAGAAGAGTGAGTTCAGAGCTCTAGATGCAACAGACGAACGCGCCTGATGATTCTGAATCGATTTGTGTGCGTACCAGCTCTATAGATCTTCTACAAGCTCGAGTTATGGACAGATCACCGACAGCGTCTGTTAAGAGAACTCGAAGAATACAAATAGTTTCGCGGACCGAGCTCGAGTAGCAGATCGAGTTCAGACCTCTCGATGCAACAGACGAACGCGCCTCATGATTCTGAATCGATTTGTGTGCGCACCAGCTCTGTAGCTTTCCTACAGCCCGAGTTAAGTACAGAAAACCGACAGCACCTGTCAAGATGACTCGAAGAATACGAATAGCTTCGCGGACCTAGCTCGAGTACAAGACCGAGTTGAGACCTTTGGATGCAACAGACGAACGCGCCCGAGTACCAGCTCTGTAGCTCTCCTAAATCTCGAGCGAAGTACAGAAAAAAAGTCAACGCGTGTCAAGATGACTCGAAATGGCCGATCCCGCCGCAACGCTTTTTGGCAGTAATAGGTACCCGATCGAGCTGAGATTAAGACGGCGAGCGGGAATAAGATCGAATATGGTCAGAAGAGATACTAGAGCTCAAACG